GCACCCACAATCATGCTTTTTTAATTAAAAAGGCATCATGAAAGTAATCAGAGAGGGCAGAATTAGCTTGGAGCTCCCCTAAGGTCTCATTTCCAGAAAATTATCATTATTAAAAGTGTCTGACAGTTCCGGGAAAAGCCCTCTTACAAGGAGACTAATGTCGACTGGTGCTCAAACAATGCAACAAGCCTTTTTGCTGGTAGAATTTGTAAAAACTAAATAAACTCACTGCCACCGAGTCAGTTCTGACTCATAGCAACCTGACAGGATAGGGCAGAACTGCCCCGGTGGGTCTGAGGCTGTAACTCTTTACAAGAGTAGAAAGCCTCATTCATCTCCTGTGGAGCTGCTGGTGCTTTCGAAACATCGACCTGAGGGTTAGCAGCCGACAGGCCTTCTCTAAAATAGAGAGACCACTATTTAATTGTGTGGCTGCCTGTGGTGGTGGATAACAGTTGGGTAAAACAGCAAGCAAGCCAAAAAGTTCAAAAGAGAAAAGCTGAAAAATTATGCGGGCTCAGAACTCCTACTTATTTGTGGGACTCTGGAAGGTCACACATCAACGCAGTGTTGTAGATGCCTTCATGGTTGTGCACATGCTCAGAAAAATAACTAAAAAGCCCTAAGTTCTAACCTCTGACTTGTATTGCACAAGCACAAAGTAAGGGCTAACAGCTTGCAGCTGTTGAAGTTCTACCCTAAACAAAGCCTATTAGCAAAGACTGAGAGATTTACTGCTGCCAGGCATTCAAAGAAAATCTCTGTCCAATCATTAGCTGATCACTAAGATAAGCAAGCAGAGATTTCCAGTGGCCACAAATAATACAGATTCTACAGAATCAGTTAAGAACAATTTTGAAACAAATACTGAAGGGTGTGGTAGTCAGCTTGATTTCTAGAGTTAATATAGCATATTAATTAAAATATTCAGTTTTCAATAAAAATTAAGAAACGTGAAGAAACAAGAGAGTATAGTCAATACACAGAGAAAATAACAATGAATAGACGCCTACGAACACTTGTATCAGTTATTTTAAATATGTTTGAAGACCTATAGGAAACCATGTGTAAAGATTTTTTTAAGAGAATGTCTCACCAAATAGAAGAAATCAGTAAAGAAAAAAATATTATAACACCATGTAGCAAGCTTGTACATGAAGAGTTCAACAAGTGAAATAAAAGATGGAAATCTTTACATGTAAACACCTATATTGAAAGAGAAGAAAAAACTCACATCAATAACCTAACCGTTCACCTTAAGAAACTGGAAAAAGAACAAAGTTAACCTCAAATAAGCTGCAGAAAAAGCTAAATATTAAAGCAAAATTAATGAAGCATGTTGCTGTTATTCGATGCCACCTCTGAGTTGGTTCCGTGTACCCCATGTACAACAGAATGAAGCGCTGCCCGATCCTGCTCCGTCCTCACAAGTGTTCCTTATTCTTGGCCCACTGTTGCAGCCACAGTGTCAGTCCATCTCCTTGAGGGACTTCCCCTCCTTTGCTGCCCCTCTACTCTACCAAACATGATGTCCTTCTCCAGAACTGGCCTCTCCTATATGGAAGACAAAGCCTTGCCATGCTTGCCTCGGCAGAGCACTCTGGTCCTCCTTCTTCCAAGACAGATTTATTTGTCCTTTTAGCAGGCCATGGTACTTTGAATTATTCTTCTCCAGCCCCAATTCTTCTATGGTCTTCTTTATTCAATGCATATGAGGAACTGAAAATACCGTGGCTTAGTCAGGCACACCATAGTCCTCAAAATAACATCCCTTTCAATACTCTAAAGGTCTTATGCAGCAGATTTACCCAATGCAATGCATATTTGGATCTCTAGACTGCTGCTTCCATGAGCACTGATTGTGGACCCAAGCAAGACAAAATCCTTGACAACTTCAACCGTTCCTCCATTGATCGTGATGTTACCTGTTGGTCCAGTTGTGAGGATTTTGGTCTTCCTTACATTGAATGGTCATCCAGACTGAAGGCTACAATTCTTCATCAGCAAGTGTCCAGTCCTCCACACTTCCAGCATGCAAGTTGTGTTACCTGAGCATTGCAAGTTGTTAATAAGCCTTCCTCCAATCCTGAAGCCACATTCCTCTTGATACAGTGCAGCATCTCTGATGATTTCCTCCGCATACAGACTGAATGAGTATGGTGAAAGAATACAACCCTGACGCACAGCACACCTTGCCGGCTTTTAAACCATGCACTATTCCCTTGCTCTGTTTGCCTAACTGCCTCAATCTATATTCAGGTGCATCATGTGCATGATGAAATGCTCTGGAATTCCCATTCTTCTCAAGGTTGTCCATAGTTTATTATGGTCCACACAGTCGAATGCATTGGCATAGTAAATAAAACATCTTTCTGGTACTCTGCTTCCAGCTAAGATCAAGCTGACATCACCAATGATATCCTTTGTTCCAAGACCTCTTCTGAATCCTGTCTGAAGTACTTGCTGCAACTGTTGTTGGATGATAGCAAAATTTTCCTAGCATATGGTAACAATAATATTGTTCTATAGTTTAGCATTCTGTTGGGTCATCTTTCGTTGGAATGGGTACAAAAATGGATCTCTTCTAGTCCGTTGGCCAAGTAGCTGTCTTTCAAATTTCCTTGTACAGATGAGTGAGAGCTTCCAGTGTTTCATAGGCTTGTTGCAACATTTCAATTGGTAGTCCATCAATTCCTGGAACGCATTTCTTAACACTGTTGAATTTCTAATTCAAATCTTTCACTTTCTTGTTCATGGTCTTGTTGTGAAATTACATCTTCCTCATCAAACGGTTCCGCTGTTTTCTGATCCAGTTTATAAGCTGTTCTCTCAAACGGTTTCACAGGTCAGGTTCAACGTACTCCCTCCACTCAGTTCCCCAGCATCATCGCCAACATCAGAAGGACGTTCCTATATTACAATCAGCTCCTGCTTTTGGGGAGAAAGAAGAGAAATCCTTTCCTTTTTATTTGCTGAAGATCCTTTTCCATAAGGATTTTTTTTCTAACAATATTCATAATCAAAGTCATAGTCACTCAAGAGAATTTTGTACATTTCATCTTCATTGCTAGTTTGTTTAACCAGTTCTTCAGGAACCTCTCTTTCCATCAACTCTTCCCACATAAATTAAAACATCCATAGCTACTTTTTAAATTTTTCTTGTTTGTAACACATTGGTGTAGACGTCCCTTTAGCTTATTATATTCACGAGCTTACTATAGTCATGTTCTTTTCTCTTCATATCAGATTGTGTTGCATAACTTGGCTTACAAGGATATTCTGTAAATTTTGAATCTCATCCTTCTCGTTTTTAAGTGGTAGATGCAAATTCCTATTCTTGCATTGAAACGGTCTCTTTCCAGATGGCCAGTCATTTCTCTCCTGGAGGATTCCAGTTGTTTCTTAAGCTTTTCAGAGACGCTCTATATAACTTCCCAGTTTCAGAGCCTGTGTTTCTACATTTTCCTAAGCTGAAGATTACTGGAGCTTCCTAAATTTTGAGAGAATACATTTGTTTGTCAAAGCCACCCACTTGTGGTATTTCTGTCTAGCAGCACTAGATAACTAAGACAATACTCTATTCTTTTTAAAAAAATACTTTATTGTTTTAGACACTGTTACAAATGGTATTGTTTCATGAATTTCCTTTTCAGCTTGCTCACTGCTGATGGATAGAAACCTAAGTCATTTTGTGCATTAACCTTGTACCGTCCATTTTACTGAATTCATTTATGAACTTTAATAACGCTGCAGTTTTATAGAGAGAGGATCATGTCATTGCGAAAAGGGGAAGTTTTATTTCCTCCTTCCTGACTTGAACAACTTTTTTCCCCTTGACTAATTGCCCTGGACAATGTTGAATAGCAGTTGTTTTACTGCTGATTACACACATATTTTTATGGGAAAGGGAAAGAATCTCAGCAATTGACTTGCCAGGATGAAGAGAAAGGTGTGTGTGTATGTGTGTGTGTGTGTTTTATTTATTGTGAGTTAGGTGGGGTGGGTGAGTGGGTACACTTCAGATCATCACCTTTGCATGCAACAGCTCAAACTATTCGTCCATCCCCCAGTAGTCTATCCCAACCCTCTCCTGATCGCTCCTCTCTCCCTCTCTCTATCTTGTGGGCCTCCATTGGCCCCCTCACCCAAGGGAACACCTACCACCCTTCTAATTTCCATACCATTGCTTGGTCTTCCTTGCCTTGCCTTCCCCCTTCTTGGTGATCTCTATAGTCTGTTCCCTTTTGTATGGAAGTGAGAAAGATTATTTTCAACTCCATGTTTTACACCTGGTTAAAGTCTTTAATGCATTTGGAATTTATTTTTTAATGTTTATAGGTATGACTCACGCTATGTTTTAAAATTTGGTTTTCATTATCATTCAAGTTCAATTCCTTTTTGGTTCTTAATAGAGAAATGACAATAATCTTTGATATTTCATGCTTGAGGACCACTATTAAATTATATATTATCCTTCTATTTTTTAGCTTCCTTAATTTTCCTTTCCCTTATTTTCTTAAACATTAATTATCTTTGGAACTCTTCGATGAACTCTTATCAAATTTGTTCTAGAATTTTTATTAATAAAGCATAAGAATATTTACTTACAACAAGTTCCAAAATACCATCACCTTCATGAGCATCTTCAATCACAGTAGCCCCAAATCCAAGCTCTTGGATGAATTCCGCTATTATCAGAGGTTGTATAACAGCAGGGTTATATCTAACCTCTGCCTTGCCAGCCATCAAAGCCACAAGTACAGAATATATACCTAGGATCAGTGAGGAGAAAAACCACACATACATCATTCATTACAAAAATAAAAATACAACAATTATTTTTAGCATCTTTCATTTAAATGTGTAATGATTAAAGTGAATATAAAGAAATTTATTATTTGAATTTTATACATGTTTTGAACTCAAACCAAATAAAACTACTTGAGATGGGGGCCCTTTTTGTAATATTCATTATGAAAATGTTTATTTATATATAAAAAGAGAACAGCAAAATGAATTTGATGTGCTCATCACTTGGCTTCAATAATTATCGAGAAGACTTTCATAATCTTGTTTCATCTATGTTTATAATCACTCTACACCCTACATAAATTATTGTGAAGCAAAATCTATACATCATATAATTTCATGGGTAAACGTTTAAATGTCTATCTCAAAAAGGCAAAGACTCTGCTCTTAAAAAGTAGCCATATACCGTTATTAAACTTAGAATCAAGTAATTCTATAATACCATCAAGCTTTCAGACAATATTCACATTTCCACAATTATCTTACAACAGTTTGAATTGGGATACAAATTAAATTTAGAAACTGCAATTAGTTGAGAGCATATTCCTCTAAAAATAAAGCACTTTTAGAAGCTAATAAGATTCCTAGAGAAATGAACTCATGAACTGTGTTAGTCAGGGTTGACTAGAGAAACAAATGCAGAGACGCTCATATATATATAAAGGTGAGTTTTATATCAAAGAGTAATTGTATATTAAGGAAATATCCTAGCCCAGTCAAGATCAAATCCATAAGTCCAATATTAGCCCATATGTCTGATATCAGTCTATAAATTCCTCTTCAGACTCATATAACACATGCAATGATGTCGAATACAGGAAGATCACAGGCCAGTGGGTGGGAAGTCTTGTGGATCCAGTGGTGGTGGAAGCATCTCAGCACTGGCATGGGTCTCCATGTGGCTCCTCTAGCTCCAGGGCTCTGGCTCCATCAGCATAGCTCCATGTGGTTTGTCAACCTAAATGTCTCACAGGGAGAGTGTGTGTCCTGCCTCCTGGGAGGAAGACAGGAGTTCCCAGATTCCTCAGGTGAAGGCCATGTACACACAGAGGCCTCATTAGCTATGACCCAATTGACAGGCTAGACTCCATCTCTCTGTTCACGTTGACAGTCGATTATGTAATTGCCACATGAACTTAGGAAATCACTTATTATAATTGTCGTAGAGTAACCAAGAATGTACCATTATAGACATGTTATAATTAATAATAATTTCTTAAAATGCTCATGTCTAGAGCACACTAATCTACAAGCTCTTATCCATAGTGAGGGAAAGTATTATATAACTTGTTAATAGAACAAAAGAATTTATTTTATGGAAGCTATGCTGTGCTCTGGTAAAAATGTTTCTTGACGTGATTGAATTAAGGAATGAATAATATGATATATGTATTAACTCCCAATTAATAATAAAATTTAAAGATAGTTTTATTGGCAACATAATTCATATATAATACACTTCCATAGTTCAGTTATATTCTCTGTTTTCAGCCAAAATCCATCTGACATTAACCATGGTCTCCGTTGATCTGAGTCCTCTTCTGAATCTGGCTTGAAATTCTGGTAACTTCCTGTCAATGTAAGCTTTGTTGCATGATTTTCAACAAAATTTTACTTGCATGTGATATGGATAATATTATTCTATAGATTGAGCATTCTTTTGGGTCACCTTTCTTTTGAATGGGTACACATAAGGATCTCTTCCAGTCAGTTGGCCAAGCAGCTATCTTCCAAATATCCCAGCAAAGACGAATATTCCTAATTAGGGATATCCAAAAATCCCACTGCTATTGAGTAGATAACAACTCATAGCTAACCAGCCTTTATAGGGTTTTCAAAGCTTTATAAGTCTTTATAGGAGCAGACAGCCTCATCTTTCTCAAAGACCAAACCCACTGTCATTGAGTGGACTCCAACTTCTATCAACCCTGTGGGACAGAGTAGAAATATTCTCTAAGGCAGTGGTTCTCCACCTTCCTAATGCCGCGACCCTTTCATACAGTTCCTCAGGTTGTGGTGACACCCCCCCCCCCAACCATGACATTATTTTCTTTGCTACTTCATAACTGCAATTTTGCTACTATTATGAATCGGACAACCCTTGTTATAGGGTCATTCGACCCCCAAAGGGGTTGCGATCCACAGGTTGAAAACCGCTGCTCTAAGGCTTCTAAGACTATAAATATTTACAGAAGCAGTAAGCCTCAGTTTTCTCCTCTGGGGCAGCTGGTGGATTCAAACCACTAAATTGGTATTCAAAACCCAACATATAACCCTCTATGCCATCAGGCCTCCAATTAGGGATAAGAAGTGGTAAAACCAGTTTGTTGTCAAGTTAATTCCAACTCATGGGAACCCTGTGTGCTTGCTACATAGTAGAAATGTGCTTCACAGGGATTTCAAAGTTACATGAATTGAAATTAACTTGATGGCAGTGAAGGGTTTTGTTTATTCGTGGTTTCGGACCTTTCAAAAGCACATCACCAGACCTTTCTTTTGAGTATGTTTAAACTCCAACATTTTGATTTGTAGTCTAGCATCTAACAAAACAAAATGATTTGTAGTCTAGCATTTAAGTATTTGCACTACCCAGAGATTCTCTAAGAGATCATAAAGAGTAATTTAAAAATGAGCTTAATGGGTTAAAAAAAAGATTTACAATCAGCATTGCTTGTCTCTTGTATTACAGTATTTGTGAATAGCCTGAAAAATATTTGGTTCTCAAATTAAGCAGGAACCTTGAGAGCTTCATTTGGCTTTGCGACCTACTTCCTTTTTCAAAAAATAATTTAATCAAATAATAAGCAATATAAGCTTTGATATGAGTTCATTTCAATGAAAAATAATGGAGGCTGAAATATGTAGAAATGACAGAAAGTGGACCCAATAACACTGATCTGAAGATGGCTCTGTATGCATGCATTTTGTTATAATGTTTGTGCTTTCATACACAAGGTGATGCTACTGGACATAAGTTAGTATTATTACTATTTTTTGCACTTTTAGTCAATTCTCTAATACTAAGGATAAGCTTACACTAACCCTTACCTATTTATTCAGCCCCTGTGATAACAGTATGTCTCATTAGGGCAATTAAAAATGAGGGCTGCCTAAGTATTAAACCTACAACTTTGGTCTTATTAAATATAATGGATATCTCTATAGTTAACCAATCCATTAGGCTATATTATAAAGCTTTAAGTATGATTACGAATTTATATGCTAAAATATTTACGTGTAATCATAGAAACTATACTGTACATGGAAACAATTAGTCCAATAGGCTAATGGACCATGCAAGCATTAGTCTCCACAACCCTGAGATAATAACCAGATGGTGCCTGGATACCACTACCACAGCTGTGAAAGGTTTCACATTAGAAAGTCCAGGATAGAAGGGAAGAAAAGTGTGACACAAACCTCAAAATCATAGACCAGGCGTACTGGCCGGACAGAGACTAAAGAGACCCGCGAGACTGACATTCAGTCACTCTTCAGATCTGGAATGGATTTACTTCTGTATTAAAACAGTCAGCCAAAAGAGCAGCTTACCCGATGGCGAAATTCCATAAATTAGGAAAGGGGGAGGAACAGTAATAGGAAACACAGGGAGGGAGTAGGATAAGTGATAGTACATTGAGTGGACTACGAAAGATAAGTTGAATCAGAATGGGTATGAATGTAAAACTAGGGTCTGCTCTGTGAGCCTTCACCTAATAAAGGTTTTAAAAATTGTGTCGTCGATTTTATAACCTAAAATTTTAAATGTTTACATTTAGCAAATTTGAACCGCTTTAATGAAAATGAAGATCAGATAACAAAATGTTGGAAAACCATAATATAATTCTAAATAAATGTTGGTTTTCGTTTGATACTTGGTCCTGATATATTGAAACTCTCATAAATTCTAGTTACTAATGGTAGGCATAGCCTTAAAAAAATCCTTTGCAAGCAAAGTCCATAGAGAACAGTAATTTCGCTTCAATTTTTCTATAAATTTCATCAATATTAAAATATGATCATGATATGAAAGAGAAAGAACGTTATCTCAGGGAGCACAGCATTAACAAAAACTTGCTTTCAGAAAATCAGGACTGTTCTACATGGCTGCTAATAGTCTTTAGGGGACCTTGGCAAGAATCAAACATACAATGACAAAAAGGACAGAATCCCCAAACCACTTATATGAATAAAAAGCTTTGAGAGTTTCTTACCTTCTTCTCTTCTTAAATTTCTTTCAATGTTTGCTACACAGGAAGCACAAGTCATGCCAGTGACCTGTATATAACACTTAGAAGTCTTTGTCTCCTCCTGATCATAAATTGGTGTCATCATTTTAGCCTGAGATTCATTAGTTGAAGCCAGAAGTGGCATTTCCAATGAGGGCTGAGCTATTAATACTGATGGTTCATTCAGATCTGGTGGAAAGCAAAAGAAGATTCTTTTAATTTGCAATATTGATCATTCTCCAGCTATATCATTGTTATGTTCCACAACCTGCTAGTCTAGGCACTGTCAATCCATTCATTTAAAACCAGCAAGAACCTACTTAAGCCTTCAACAATATTTGACCTTTAAATTTTCCAGGCAGTGACTTCCAATTTCAATAGTGCCCACTACAGTTCCTAGGGAAATCTAGCTAAACTGAATATGTAAAACTTTAGTTATAGCAAGTTCTTCCAGCCATTATTTTTGCCATTCTCCCCTTACCCTCCAGTACAGTGTAGTTTGCTAATGAGTAATTTCTATGATAGAGCATCAGAAAGTTTGTGGACAAATGGAATTAAAAGATAATGGAATTTTCCACAAACATCTTAAATTCCCCTTTCATTTTTGCAACAAATTTTTATCATCATGTTAACAATTTATATCTTGGAACTAACCCAATTTAGGATTGACTACATGGAACAAAATACAATTTTCTAAATAGTGTTGGAGTATACAGTAATGCCATTTAATTTTTTGTATCTATGTACTTGTATATATGAGAACACCTGCAAGAAAGTCTAAGAGGCTAGATACCAAACTATTTATAACAATCAACATATACATAAAAACTAAGAAATCCAGATAAACAAGTGGTCATCTAGCTAAGAAGCAACAAAGCCCACATGGAAAAAGCATACCATCCTGTGTGATCATGAGGTGTCGGTGGGACCAGGTATCAGGCATCTAAGACCCAAAACAAAATCACACCCAATGTGAATGGGGGGTGGGGCATGGAGTGAAGATCCAATGCCCATCTCTAGACAATTGGACATCCATTCACAGAGGTCACAGGGAAGATATGAGCCAGTCAAGGTGGAGTATAGCACCAATGAAGCACACAACTTTCCTCTAGTTCCTTCATGTTTCCTTCCTTCTACTATCATGCCCTCAATTCTACCTTACAAATCGGATTAGACCAGAGCATGCACACTGCTACAGATAAGAGCCCGCAATAGGGGAGGGTGGGAGGTGAAAGGGAGAATCGATCACAAGGATCAACCTATAACCCCCTCCCAGGGGAACAAACAATAGAAAAGTGGGTGAGGGGTGATGGAGGACAATGTAA